TCTGAGGTTCTCTGGGTTTTCTTCAATCGAGAGATTTCTGCTATAAAACGAAATAACCCTCGTTATTCGGTTGCTCCTCTACCATGATTTTGAATTTTGTTTTTTTTCAGATGAGGGAAGCCGCTCTCGTACTTGTAGCTGTTGCAGGTATGTTATTTTCTCAGATTTTATTGACAAATGCAAATGTGAAATGTTCAGTATTCGGCTGGAAAGGAGGAGCATTACGCATTTCCTCTACTTTATATTAACTAACGATCCCTGTTTCTGATTCTGTTATGGGGAGACTTGTAAACTCTTATGAAACATATAAGCCCTTCCAGGTAGAAGCTTCGATGGGTGCCGTTAGGTGTCCCATGAAATAAATGTAGAGCATTGACGAATGTTATATCGTTGAGAAAATGAATGGACTTTCATGTTCAAAAGGTCGAACTGCCCCTGGGAACAAACTTTCAGCGGATTTAGTAATCCTGGATATCTCGGCAGCTTGGCTTGTGGCGCGCGCCATGCAGTCCCAGGCCAAGCGGAGGTGCTCTTCGTGTTCACGAGATCGAACCACCTCTATAACTACGAATCTACCACCCTAAAGAAAAAACTGACTTGTTCTCAGAAGATTGGAGTGCCAAAAGTTGAATAGTGCTGAAATCTCTATGATAATCCACACCGTTGGAAATCTTTTTTCCCAGCAGTTTGGGAAATCAAACTTTTATTTGACAGAATCTCTCGCGCTATTAAATAAGGTGAAGCATTTGGTGCGAAACGCTCAATGCATACTAAAACCACTGCAAAGGTACGCAGAGGGCTAAATATGTCCCCGAAGGTCGCCTTAAGTATAGGCACACTTGGCTTGGAAGTAAAAATGTCAAAATGCCGCACATTGTTGGAATGAGGCCAATTTTACCGTTGCCCACAAATGTTTCCTGTACTGTAAGAAATAGTCGCTTGCACTTAGTTTGATACATGTCCTCAAGTGTCTTGAAGGGAACTTACTTGTGAATGTATAATCGCTTCCAGTTTGCTCGGCTTCGGTGCTTGAGTTCGTGACACTGCCAAAGACAATCAGTATCAAATCGGCAAATCGGGAGCTCCGCCTGAGCGAAGTACCGCTGCTTAATGAAAATCTCCTTGGGCTTACGGCGAAGCCCGTTTCAGGTGAGTTATTCTTGGCTTTTATTTTGTCATTATAGCATAAATACCATGCATTTTGAAGGGGCAAACGCATCTTGTTATTTTCGATACATTCAGTGGTGTTCTGACGTCTGGTCTGAATGTCTTTATCGAAAATAGTGAATGTGGCTTCAGATTCAATAATGCCCTCTCTAGGCCGTTCACTGCCGCCTTTGCCGAGCAACTCGGAACGAAAGTATCCCGTCATGAATGCTAGGAACAGTGAGCACTGGGCAGTCTAGTCTAGTTTTCTGAGGAAGACGATCTGTAGGGAACTTTGGCCCATCAAAAAATGTGGCAAACTGACACAGAAACCAATGAAATGTTTCAGGAAAGTAAACCTTCATAATGATGTGTGCATGGGGAAGGGGAAAGCACTCGGCATTCGCTCTCGAAGTTGCCATGTTGCGGTACTGTATGTGGAACTAGGACCGATTTCACAGAGTTTGCTAGCAGTAGGAAAATTAATAGATGGACACTCTAGAGAAGCCGCCAACATGTAAGTAGTGAGAAAAAAATGGTAGGTTTAGAAAACAAAAAACTAACAAGGTTGCCACTTTTGTACCCTTTGGTTCATAGGTGATATCTGAGGTGGAGGGTGGGAAGAAACGCTCAGAATTTGCCTCTTTGGAGTTTC